GCAAAAGCGCCTGCCTGGCAAGCGCAAGGTCGTGAGTTCGGTTCCCGGTACCGGAGAAAAACCAAAAAAAAATAAAAAATAAAAAAAAAAAAAAAAAATAAAACATCTCAAAGGTATTCCATCACATGAAAGTCCAAACTCATTAGTCTACCTCAATTCCCACCAGCCCCCAGGGTCCAGACTCGACTCCAGTCATACAGAATTCATCACCATTTCCACAAGTTTTGTGTTGCAGGTCCAGGGCCCAATAAGATTCCCAGAGTAGCTACACCAGAGAGAATAAGAAGTTGACTGCCTTGGGGAGGGCTGGAGAGAGAAGCAACAGCTCATGCAGGGCTCTGAAGTTATGACAAAATAAAGTGGAATTTATTCCAAATAAAAGGCAAGCCACTGACCACTTACAAGAGGGAATAAGATACCTTGCAGTTCCCAAAGTTCCTCAGGCCACTGCGCTAAAAAGTGATACAAGAGCAATAAGCAAAGAAGAGGAAGATGTGGTGGCAATCTGCGCATGAGCACAGCATGGTGATCCCAACTGCCCGGCGCGCAGGAGTTCACCAAGTTAAGTACCTGCTCTGAGCAGAAACTACCCCCATTAGTTCTGAACTGAACAAAGCAAGCTAAATAAGCTACTTTCCCCAGTGTAATCTAGTTTGAATGTTTTTCAAGTCAAAGAAAAGTTTGAAGTATTCCTTGATCTTTTTTATACAGTACTCACTTTAATTCAGAACAAAATTTTTTCCATATGTTCCTTCAACATGTATTGACGTTTAGTTCATTTCAATAGTCCTGCATGATTCTGTTCTCAGCAGAATAAAATAGGAGACAGTGAAAAGGAGGGCATTTGGAGTAGATGCATCTGCATTTGATTCCCCAACTCAACAACACTTTCTGGAGAGAATTACTTTTCTTCCCTGAGCTTCAGTTTCTGAATTTGTAAAATGGGGATGCAGATACCTCAAAGGGATGCTAGAACATCTTATCCACATAATGTAAAATGATTAGTTCACCTGACACCTAGCAGGTGACCAATAAATAGTAACTAGTGCAACAACAATACTATTGAAATAGTTGCTAGCTATAGAACAATCCTTAGGACAGAACTTCCTAGAATCCTCCTTAGAAGCACATTATCAATTAAATTTAAGTGTCTGCTCTTCCAAAAAGATGCTGACTCTAAAATGTTTCACCCTACTGACCCAAGAAATAATGTTCCAACTTCAGTTCTTCCCATTAAATGGAAAATTCAACAACCTGAGCAATAACTAATAACTTAGCTTGTATAAAATGTTTAGGTCCATTTTACCATTGACTTGCCCAATCTCGTACATAAAACTCCAAGCTCTGCCACGAACAAGAACATTTAAATCTATGGCATATTTATGTGTCAGCATGCTCTTTGAAATTCTGCTTGTGTAATCATTGTAGTGAAATCATAATAAGGGGATAAATAGTTTCCAAACACAAAGAATAAAGACCAGAGTTAACCCAAGGATTCAGACTAACTAAAAAGACACTAAGACAATACAATATTCTCTCCTGCTTAAAACCTCGACTTAGTGATCTGTTTAAAGCCATTGGTAATAGTTAGCATAGTTCTGTGACCTTCTGTGCCTCAGTTTATCTACAAAACGGAGATTAAATGAGTTAATAAATGTAAAGTCCTGAGAACAGTACCTAGCCCTTACTATACACAGTAAATATTAACAACCACAATGATTAAAAGTAATATGGTCCTACAAGTGTCCACCTACTTGTCACGGGATCTTGGGCAAAGAACTTGAGTTTTTTCTATGCCCTGGGTTTCCTCATAGATAAAATAGCTATGACAATGATAATACTTTCTTAATAGACTGGTGAACATTGAAGGAAATCATTTGTAGGTTGTAAGTACAGTATCTACCATACAGGAAGGGTCCAGAACATGCTTGCATTTCTTATATCATTAGAATTATTATTTTCTTGTGAGCCAATTATAAATAGGTTTATCTGTATATAATCTTAAAATTATATCCTGTTAAATAAATTTTGCTTCAGCCAAACTCCTGGATTCAAATCCTAGCCCCACTTTTACTAGTATTACCTACAACCTTGGGGAAGCTCACCTCTCTAGGTCTCATTTACTCATCCATATGGGAATTCATAATCGCATCTACCTTAAGAGCTTGTAAATGTTAAATGAAATAATACACAAATATAAAGGTCCAACACAGTATATGTAAGCAAAGTATTCAGCAAATGTTGCCAGCATTATTCCCCCAGAAAGGAATCAAATCTTTTCTTTATCTCCATTTTCTCTGCCCCTCCTCTCACCCACAGTGCTTGGATCTTCCCTAAGTACTTGATAAATGAACTCCCTTTAACATGTCTCTATTTGCTGAAAATAAATAGGGACAAAAGAAAAGCTACATATCTGGAAGACTATACAGTGCATTTTGACTGTTTTAAGACAGAAACCTAGGGTGGTGTACAGTTTCAATGCCATTTCTTTTCATAAGGTTTTAATAACCTGGGTCAAAGGTGAACAAGAAGGAAACAAACCTTACGTTACCAGCAACTTAGAAATCACAGAATTCTTGGCCCAGACCAAGCCATCAACCAGGCTACGGAGGTTAAGCAGCACGGCAGAATTAAACAGACATCAAACCAGCCAAGGAACAAATAATTAAGCAACATAAACCATGCAGAGTGAGACAGGCTCTCTACTTCCAGCTGAAAGAATGAGAGGAAAAATAAATAAGGCAGCAACTATAAGGTGGCCATGGTTCAGGTACTAGCTGCCTCTGGGGAGTGAATCTTCTCCTAGAAGCAGAGAAAGGAAGAACGGCAGGGTTGAGAAGGTTAGCAATAAAAGCACAAACACAAGTAGCAGTAAAGTCAGCCTCCTGGCCATGGCAGAGATGTGAGAGATGCCACCCAGAAGCTGCCATAAACACCAGGCATAGAAATGATACACCTTCCCCAGAGAAGGGCTCCTCATGAAAACGACACAGAATGGTAGGGGACTCACCCAGAGGACTTCAGCTACCCAAGAATAGGGTTTTGCAGGCTTCTCTGCTCTGGGACTGCAATGATGACGGTTCTTTAGACAAACTAATTCATGATCCCTGCCAGACCTGTACTGAGAAGCGGAGTGGGAGTCACAAATAAAAGTGAAGAAATCAGGACAAAGGGACTCACAATAGATAAAAGAGCAGGAATAAACCACCTGGAGAACTGCAGAAGTCTATTTCCTTCTTTACACCAACAGGAATTTAAAAGCAGAGATTCAATCAACACTTTCCAATGCTCTTTGTTACTTATTAAAAAACCGAACAAGGCTATGAATCATCAACATGGAAAGAGAAAAGCTATCACCTTTCACTAGTCTTCGCCTTCCCCACTCTAATCCTTAGATAATGACTTTTTAAATATGAGACTGACTAGGCCCATAATTAACACAGTGAATTCTAGCATCAACTTCTACGACCAAAGCTAGCACAATTTGACTACAAAAGTTGATTCTTGCACCCCGAACTTTCTCTGTTAACTAGATGAGCAATTTGGGGAGGGGGGTCAGAATGCAAAAGGATTTGACATGCAGTCAGCAGGAACCAAATTCCTTTGCTTATAAATCATCATAAACTGGCTTTCCAGAAAGGCATGAGCAATACCACCAGCACGGGCTTAATTTCTGTCCCAGCCTCTTGCTGCTAGGCACAAGGGCACAAGCTGCATAGCATCAGAAAGCTTCGGATTTAAAGAACAAGGGAGGCAGAAATCAAGTGGTTACAATGCCTAAAACACAGACGGGAATGTACTGGACTTAACTTTCTAAGTTGACCTAAATTACTAGTCAATGTCTTTGAAGGACGCATGGGTTTGAATCTCAGCCCTATGGCTTCCATAACTCAGCAACTCTTTCATTACCTGGACATAGCAGGTTAGGGCTACCCAAAGTGCAGTCCACAGACTGGCATCCTGGGTGTCATCTGAGGGCTGGTTAGCAATGCAAATTCTTGGACCCTGCCCCAGAGAGAATCATTAACTCTCGAAGCGCATCCTAGCAATCTCTATCCCAGTAAGCCCTTCAGGGATTCTGATGCAGTTCAAGGCAATGGCCCTGTGGCCAGTATCTCTCTGAGCTTCAATCTCCTTTTCCACATAGGGTGCTTCATTCAGCTCTGAAAATATCCCTGACATTGACGGCAGAAAGCTAATGCTAGCCACTACATGCAAGACCCACACTGCCCGTGACCCTGCTTCTCACAGTCTACAGAAAGAACAGTCCAGCACAGGCTTGGCAAACTTCCTCCGTAAGGAGATACACAGTATCTCTGGCTTCACCGCCCATACAGGCCCCATCTCAACTTCTCAACTCTGCCACTGTGACATGAAATAGATACAGACACTAGGAAATGAATACATGTAGCTATGTTCCAATAAAAATATTTATGGACCTGGAAATTTGAATTTCATATCATTTTCCATGCATAAAATCCTGTTCTTTTGATGTTTTAACCCTTTAGACATGTCAAGCCTATTCTTATTCACAGTTCTTTCTAGGGGGTGTTGTAGTTTGCTTAACCTGCTCTAACATTTTCACATTAGTAAATTTATGAAGCCTTATGAGCAGTTTCCTCATCTGTCAGATGAAATGAATAGTGCCCAGCCCAAAGGTTTGCTATCAGAATAAGCATCTGTAGACTACTTGGTAGGCTGCTTGATAGTGCAAGTTCTCAGCAAATGTCACCTACTGTCATTATTACAATGAAATATTTGCTGGTGAAACATCAGCACTCCATGATATAGGAAAAGTGGTTGGATCGGGCCAGAAACACAATGCAAAAGTGTAGGTAAAACAGAGCCGCAGGTTCACCAACCTACTTGCACGAAGAACCACTGGACATGCGTCTGTTTGTATGCTGCTGCATTTATATACACAAGTAAGCAGTGAAAAATAAGCAAAACACACAAAAAAACTTCAATCATCTTCCTCTCTGGGCTTAAAACGTGGTTAATTCTGAGTGACTAAATTGTTCCCATACGTGCACTACTCTCCTGGAGCAAAGAAACAACTCAAATAAAAGTGTATAAAGTCTGTCTCTGACTTCAAAGCCTCCAGGAGTTCACACTACCACACTGAGACCAAAGAGCCAGCTCACACATCCCACAAAGCAGCAGTCCCTTGGGAGAATTCACAGCTGCACAACATCTGGGGAAAATTGGGGTCAGGATATGGAGAAACCTAGGACCTCGTTTTCAGATCAGACTTCAAAAGATTATCAAAGGTTCAAATACGTCCCTGGTTCAGGCACTTACAACTTGTTCATCATGTGCCTCCCATTGGCTGTCAAGAGTCTAAATAACAGGCATGTTCTCTCCTTCTGATCCGACCTGGAGATCAATTCTTTTTCTTCCGGCACTCTCCGCATCTCTGAGTCTGGCAGTCTTTCCAGATGGCACGATGGATAAATGAATGCACGTGCTGTGGAACACAGTAGCCCCCAACCATATAGGTGTTAAACACTGACACCAGTGTGGTATGACTGAGGGACCACATCTTTTATTTCATTTTAATTAATTTATATTTTAAAAAACTGATACTCCACTCAGTGACTGGAAAATGTTTGAAGGTGTATAGCCCCTTGGGTATGTGAAGCTACTTTTTTCCCTCTAAATTATTAAATATTTAAATACAGAGCCAGTGTTTCTGACACCAACTTAGCATCTGAATTGAGAGATGTTATAATTGTAACACATACACTGGATTTGAGAGCTGCTTATAAAAAGGATATAAGTATTCCATTAATCATTGTGTATTGTTTAAATACTAAATGAAGATGTCATGGATATACTGGGTAAAGAAAATGTATTCTTTAATTCTACATGTTTTCTTCTTATGTAGCTCTTGGCCTCCAGTTGTGTAAGTGGCCGCGTTTTATTTCTAACTGTCAGCTCTGCTATAGAGCATTATGCCATTACTCACAGATATCACAAAGTCTAAACAGAGTGTAGAGTCCATCTAGCTCTGACCTCTGTATCTTGCGATCTTTTTACTATCTACACCCTAGAGAACAACCACTCTGTCCCTGGATACCTTGCTCCCTTACAGATAAGCCAAATCCTGGCAGAGATACTCCCACTGCTATTTCTTTAGAGTCCAGCCCCCTCCTGGGGCCAAGCACATGCCAAACAATGACATGAAAAATCACAGCAGTGCTCACCACAAGCACCTATCACCCTGGCCTAGCACAAGAATCCTCTCAAAACAGGCACACGCTCAGCTCACTGCAGTTCTTAAAACCTGATTTTACTCCCAGATCGTGACTCATTCCCAGCTCAGGACGAGCACATTTTCCTTCCCGTTCCCTGTGATCAGGATCTGCTCAGAGCAACACTCAAATACAGTTTTCAAAACTGACTGAAGAAGTTTTTATTTTGTGTTTGGTGAATGGACAGCTAATAAATTCGCTAAGGGGAAAAAAAAAATAGCCTTTGAACTGAAGAGAGCACACTTTCCCATAAAAGGATTCTATGTGCAACAGTTTTCAAGTCCGGTTAAATATTAAGATATGAGTGCATGAATGTGGATGCATATTTATATTTATTACATATACACAGAGACACACACAGTTTTTACACAAACACTGGAATGACCCCAGGACAGGATGTCTCTTTCCCTGGTCCCCAGTTGATCTTTGTAGGGTTAACTTCTCTCTCACTGTCCCAAGGACCAACTGTGTGGGTCCTCACACTCCACGTCACACTGGAAATGAAGGAGTGTGGGGTAAAGGGTCTCTCAGAGAATACTACCTCCCCCCAGGTTGTTTACTGAAGTCTCTGGAGAAGCTTGGCTAAGGTCTGTCTTAACCACTTTAAATTTGTTTAAAATCAAAACCAGAGCTCTTTTTCAGAGGCAGCCACAGTGAAAGCGCCAACAATCCCTTCCTCTCACCCATCTTCTTCAGGACAAACCTTCAGAGAGCTGCTAACCAGGAAAGGAATTAACCCATCAGAGGGGCAGCACCTCTTCCTTTCCGGGCTTAGGTGGAGGTGCTAATTGGCAGTGAAATGCATAAAAGGTGCGTATCACAGTAGCTGCAGACAAACAGGTCTGGATAATCCATAAGCTGAATAATGAGCCTTTTAATACCAACAGCTAACTGCAGCTTTTGGTAATGGGATCCAGGTCACCCTTGTAAATCTACTCTCTCCAATTAGAGAGATGCCTTGCTCCACTTTTCCCTAAAGCCAAGAAACAGAAAAAAACTCATCTAATGCCCAGCTCTCGGGCATGCATGTGTCTTAAATCCTCACAAACAGGTAGAAATTTTCCTCCTGGAGAGGCGATTTCATAACTTCACTCAGAGAATTCAGAACCTGAGAAATTAGGTTCTTCCTAATTCCTAAAAGTAACTTCCCCTAATCTCCTTAGAGCTAAACTCCCTTTTGCTTCCATCTCACCAGGACCCAAGATAGGTTTCCTTGATTCCAGGTGCTATCAGTATTAATAATACCAATAAAGTTGGTTTTCCATTTCCACTCGGTATGGGCACAGCACATCCTGAATTACAAAGTGCACTTGAGACCTTTATCCCTTTCGGTGTCCAGCACCATTTCACCACTTTGGGGAAGCCTCTAGATTGGAGAGCCCCAAGTTCACACAATTTATGAGCCTCCTTAAGAAAATCAATATAAAGTTGTAAATACAAGGATGCTAGGAGCTTTTCCAAAAAACCTTGGAGGGATCCTAACGTTTGGTCTCAGGGTAAATCTAACCCTGTACCAACCCCCTCCTGTACCCCTCATCCTTCGCCGTCACCCCCAAAGGGACAGCACATGTGGCTTCGCCAGAAATGCTTTCACTGCCTTGCTCAGAGTCAAAGGGCTATGGGTGTTAGACACAGAATTAAAGCCTTCTTGTGCCCCAGTCTCTTTGGCCCCTCTAGTTCCTCTGTCACAAAGGAAACTCAGAAGAAGGAACAAATAAAAACAACATAGCAGAAAATGGTCCCCATCAGGCAGAAGTCAGGAAGCTGCCTAGACTGAGCATTGCTTGGGTAGAAGGTGGTGAAATTCACTCAAGGGCTCTATAGACATCCACTGCATTGCCCAAGAAGGTAAAAGACACGCCATATAGACACACAGAGTCTGGGTTAACCTCCCATCTACCGCCTACAGGGCCTGG